GTAAACGTGCTAGTCCTCTTGCTTTTAGAATTTTGTTGTATCGATTTTTATTTTCTATTAAAATTGAGATCTACGGGGAAGAGTTATTTTTAATTTTTTTATAAAATACAGTATTATAAAAATAAAATAATATTTATTCTATATTATTAATAAATTATAGTAATATTGTTACAATTTATAATAAATTAAATTATACTAATATAGTTATAATTTCTTAACAAAATTTTAATAATATTAAAATAATATTGTTATAATTTTAAATTTAATTTGTTATAACTTTTTAATAAAATATTATAACAATATAGTTAAAATTATTATATAATTTATTTATAATTTAGTTATAATATTAAAATAAAATAATAAATATAAAATAAAAAATAAATTTGTAAGTATTAGATAACTAATTTATAATAATTTATTAATAAATTAACTGTAAGAAACTAGTTTAGTAAATTTTTTATTATTTGTTTAAATAAATGAGATTTTACTAAAATTACAGAATAATATTTTGTAGTTATTTTTTAAAATAATTTAAGTAATTTATTATAATAACTAAAAAAATAAAATAATACTTAAATTAGAAAATTTATTTAATTATTATTTTATAATAAATTAGAATACTACTAACTTAATAATAATTTTTTATAAAGAAATAAAAAAATTTAATAAAAATAAATATAAAAAAATTAAATCAAATTAAAATCAAAAATAAAAAATCAAAAATCAAAAATATAAAAAATATATAATAATTTGTAAAAACTTATATATAAAGTTAGTTTATATATAGTAATTATAATTATAAATTTATATTAGATTTTAAAATTATATTTTGCTAAATAAAAGTTTTTTATTATTAACTTTATTTATTTAAAATAAGAAAATAAATCAAAAAAATTATAAAAAAATTTATTAATTTAAATTATTATAAAACAACTAATATTTTTAAAATAGTTAGTTTTAAAATATTGTTTAAGGGTGTGGTGACTTAGTGAAGTTAGTAAGTTGTCACACCTTCAAATGGCAGGTCTAAAGTTCAAATCCCACTGGTAACGATTTTGAAAAATAAGATTTGTTTCGGTAACATTTATTTAATGATTGGTTGGGTGTACTACCTGTAACCTTGGTACCACCATCTTGAATAGGAGCTTTCGGGTGAAGTTGTGTAACATCACACAGACAAAGCCAAGGAACCGGAATAATTGAAACCCATTTGGAAAGACCCGAGCAAGGAAGTAGTAAAGATCTTTGACGATACTGCAGAAGCTGGAAGCCCGGAAACCAGAGACTGAAGAACCGGACAAATAACTCTGGGGCAAAAAGGGTTTATCAACCTAGCTGCTGGAGTCACACCAGAGGAAAAAGTCCTATGCTGCGGAATTAGGAACTAAAGGAAGGGAACCATCGGACACTTAGAGTCTAGGTATACCAACCTATCCAGGCTAACTGGTTTGGAAGTTTGGGAGAGATCGGTATAAGAACCGGAAGGAAGGTAGATATAGGTATCGGGATTGGAATGAATCTTGTAAGTGCAGGGGAACCAGGAATTGTGCGGTTTAATGGTTAGTCCTGACCACTAGTGTTGGTCTCAGCCATAGCAGACAGGTTCTCTGAACCTAATTTGGAAATATGTAGGACATAGAAGAATTAGGAAGGCAGCCACTATGCTACCTGTGGGGACTCTAGGGAAATCAGCGGGGTAACCAAACTCAGGTAAGTGAGTGGGGGCACTTTGGTATAAAGGTATCTGGCTTAGAATAATTGGTGGATATATACGATCAGAGGGTTTAAATAGATAATCCCCTAGTTGAATTATAGGCATGGCATCTAGTATAGAACCTTCGGGCGAACTACTTAAATAGGCAACCAAAAGTTATACGTGTGGCTAGTTGTACTCTTGTTGTAATACTAAATGTAAGACCCACGTGATTAACAGTTAAACATCAATAAAGCTCAGTCCCGAAGGACACCTTATAAAAAAAAGTATTGTTTAATAGTTTTTAGCTATTTACAATATATATATACTATATATAATATATTTATTTATATAGATTATTTTTTAGTTTAAACTATAAATAATCTGTTTTAAAAAATAAATAATACTAACTATTATAAAAAAGGATATATTTATTTGATGCGGGGTGCACCATGTGCAGGGTATGGTGTTGATCACAATAATCACGGGTGGTTACATAGATCTACAAAATAAGTATAGATTTTTTTTATATTATTTTATATTTTCTTATTAATTTACTTTTTTTTTTAGATAATATTGACTATCGTTCGTGGGTCACTTTTTTCCTTGGCATCGTCGTTTTTTTGGGGCCATCATTTTTCTGATGTCGTGTCTCTTTGGAGTCGTTGCTTCATTGGTGTCGTCGCATTTTGGAGCCATTGTTTCACTAGTGCCGTCGTCACATGCTTTCTCTGGTTTATTGTTTTTTGGAGCTGTCGTTTCTCTGGTATCGTGTCTTTTTGAAGTCGTCGTTTCGTTGGTGTCATCGCATTTTGGAGCCGTCGTTTCACTGATGTTGTCATCACGCGCTTTCTCTGGTTTATTGTTTTTTGGAGCCGCCGTTTCTCTTTTGTCGTGTCTTTTTGGAGTCGTTGTGTCATCACATTTGGAGCCGTCATTTCGCTGGTGTCGTTGTATTTTGGGCTTCTGATTTGGGTAAGTGTTTGTTATTAGAATTTTGTTTTCTTGCTTATACTAACGTTCTTCTTTTTTTTTAGTGAATTTTGCTTATCTTCATCTGGAATTGGGCTTCCAGTTTGAGTGGTTAAATTTCTTGTTTTGTTATTTGGCTTT